GAAACAATCAGATAAATCCGGGCGGAGGAAGCTTCTCCAAGACCACCAGCATGGAGCCCTCAAAACTATCAATGTCCCAGTGACCAGAAAGGCTGGGGGGATGCTCTGAATTAAAGAAGACTTATGACAACCACATGCAATGCGGGATCCTGAAGAGGATTCCGGACCAAGGGGAAAAACAGCAATAAACAGGATTTGGGGGCAATATAGACTGTGTGTTATTAAATAAAATTATTGTATCAATGTTAAATTTCTTGAGAGTTACAATTGTGTCATGGTTATGTAGAGAATGGCCCTGTTCTTAGAGATACGGGCTGAAGCATTCAATGGTGAAGAATCATCGTGTCTGCATCCTACTCTCAAAACTTTATTGGAAAAAAATGCAGATATATATATATATATATGGAGAGAGAGGAGAGAGAGGTGTATATGTGTGTAAGAGAGAGGGAGCATGCTAAAGTGAATGTTGGCAAAGTGTTAATTGGTGGAGCTAGGGCATAAAGTTTTCATGAAATCACTTTTTCATCTTTTCTACATGTTTAATTTTTTTGTGTGTGTGAGGAAGATTAGCCCCGAGCTAACATCTGTTGCCAATCCTCTTCTTTTTGCTGAGGAAGACTGGCCGTGGGCTAACATCTGTGCCCATCTTCCTCCATTTTATATGGGACGCCGCCACAGCATGACTTGACAAGAGGCGCGTCAGTGCGCGCCCGGGATCCGAACCTGTGAACCCCGCGCCAACGAAGTGGAGCTCGCGCACTTAACCGCTACGCCACTGGGCCGGCCCCTCCTTTTTTCTATATGTTTAATATTTTTCAAAATAAAAGGTTGGGAGAAGATAAGGTTAAAGTTCAGAAATGCAATTGGTAGTGCTTTCTAGAGGATTGGTAGCAAATAAATAGACTCATTGTCCCCTTCCCCAGAACAACACAGGACACACACCACGTTGGACATGGTCTCTCAGGGGAGTCGCAAGCGCCAAGGCCCTCCGTGGAACCCACAGAACCACGGGGTCTGAGAACAGACTTCCCTGACAGACGACCCCCTCGCCTACCTCGAATTACAGACCACTCGCCCTCCCGCACCTAAGACTCTCTGCAGTGTGACAGGGACCTTCTTTCCTAGTTTTCTCTGTCTGGAACATGCCCCCTGTGGTCCAGTCACCGCCGGCAGTCTCCTGCCCCTCTCTATCTGCCCCCCTGGAGTGACACCTCCTCCAGGAGCCTTGTTCCAGGTCTTGGGTCCTTGTCTCCATCCTCAATTTGGCTTGGAGCTCGGGAGGCTAGGACTCTGTCCCCCTCGACTTCCGCCCTGCACACCTGGCCACGTGTCTGGCCCAAAGCAGGTGCCCTGCTGGAGCTTCAAAATCCGATTAACGGGACATGCAACGAGTGTTTTACACTGTGCCCACAGGAGACACATTTGTTAATGACTTTCGGTCAGTTAACATTCCCCTGGCCCAATTATGACTTCAAACTTGTCTCTTACTTTTAGGTGCTTCCAATTTAGTTGTGGAGGTGAGACAAACACTCTAAATAATTAGCTAAGAAAGTATTTGTTTTCACTATTTTTCAAAACTCAGAGGCAGGAAAATACATAAGCCTCAGAATAGGATGAAAAAGGTATCCACCTTTTTCCTTCACCTGCAAATAAAGTAAAATAAGATTAAATAAAATGAAATAAATAAAGTAAATGAGAAAATTAAATTAAATAATAAAGTGAAAACAAAAAATAAACGAAGTTAATAAAATTAGTAAAATAATATGAAATGAAATAATAAACCAAATAAATAACGAAGTGGAATAAACGAAATAAAAACTAAATAAAAGGAATAACTAAAATATATAAAGTAACATAAATAAAACTAACTAAATAAACATAAGCAAATAAGTAAAAGAAAAGAAATGCAAGGAATCAAATGAACACCGTCATCACCGAAGGAAACAGTGTATTGCTGGGCAGGACTCCGCTGTGCCGCCTGCATCTGAGGGCCCCCAGCTGTCCGCCGGACCTGAAGCTCAGCTCCAGGAAATGCTGGGTCCCCGACGCGCTGCGCCTCTTGGGGAGGGGGTGGGTTTCCAAGCCGGTGAACGCGGAGCCTTGCTGGGGAGAAGGGGCCCTCGGGGCTTGTGCGTGTCTCCGCTTTTCCGGGGCGCGCTCGCGGAGCCGACCAGGCCGCCGGTAGGTGGCGCTCTGGGTCCCGAGGCCCACGCGCGGCGCCCGCGGGGCAGGTCCGCTTGGCGCTGGCGGGGCTGCCAGGACCGCCACTTTCAGCCCGCGCGTCTGCGCTCCGTACGCCTCTGCTGTGGGACCTCGGGCCGCCTCTTAAGCCTTTGGGCTGAGTGCCCTGTTTAGTAAAAATGTGCATAAACCCCCCACCCCCACGACCTGCGGTCTCTAGGCTGCTCACTCTGAGGATCAACCACGTAAATGGTTAGTTTGGAGCCCCTTCAAAGTGTCACATCAAGCGCAGGGTTCTTGCCACAAGAACGTAAATGTGAAACTGGACCGGAGGATGGGCCATCCAACTCCTTGATCTACCCTGAAGGAATAAGTTGTTGCATATAAAATAACTGAAAGTGTAAATTGGGGTAAAAAAAAGTCATCTGCCTGGTGCCTCAGGGGAAAGGACACTCATTCAGAAAATTCCAGAATAGCTACCTGTGGCTTTGGTAGGGATTAAATGATGGCAGAGGACATTTGCAGGCGGCCTTTCCAACAGTCCCAGAAGTCCCCAGCAAAGCTGTGCTGGGGGAGGGGAGGCTTGGGGGTGGGCATGGGGACAAGGGGCCGCTCACATGCAAATGCAGCTGTGACAATCCGGCCGGGCGCCTCCGCGCCTCCGGGAGGCCGAGGCTGGAACAAAGCATTAGCATTTTCTACATGTGAAAAGCTCGCATTCCTGGGCGGGGAGGCCGCGAGGGCGCCGCCCCCCTCTCCCCATTCACACTCCAGACCACACAGAGCGCCTCTCGCGCCAAATGCTCGAAGGTTCGTTTCAGCTTTTCTTTTGACCCGGGCGATGCATACGAAATGTAGATATTTCCCTAAACGTCGGCTTTGACATTTAATGCGATCCTAAGTAGTCTGAAATGTGGACGGGATTAGGAGGAGGCTTGGGGCCCACAGGGACACTTGGCCAAATCCTTCTAAATCCTCCAGGACAATTGTTTGTCACCACACGGATCCCCTTTGCCCCAAATGAGGGGGCTAATGAACTTCGCTGCGTCCTCCCGCGGCACCCCCACTCCTACCCCAGAGCCGGCATTTCTGCCCTGTTCTTCCGGGGGAGAAAGGGAAGCTGAATGTGTAAATTGCTTGTGTACGTATGGGTTTGGTTACTTTAGGCTGGGCCAGCTGAGTTTGACCAGCAACCCACCCATCCTGGGCCACTATTTAACTCTCACTCCATAAGGCTCAGAGGGTCAAGGATGCTGAGGCCCTGTGAACCTTGGGATTATGGTAATAGGCCATCCCCACCTTGAAAGAAGGTCCTTGGACATTGCTAAGCCTAGAAAGAAAACATCACCAAAAGTTCTGTTCAGCACTTTATTATTCATCTAGAACAATCCACACACTGTATAATGCACAGTCCTGTCTTCAAAGCACATACTCATAATCCAGGAAGGAGAGGAAAACAGTTGACACGGAAGACAGACTGTGCCTGCAGATTTGTCAAGTTACCGTTGGGCTCAACAGGAAAGCTCAGCAGCCCCCACACGCCCTCCAGCAGCACGTGCAGATGGAGGGGGAGTGGGCATAAGAGGAATCTCCCGGGAGGTGGGGGACACAGAGAGGCAGTGTGAGATGGCAGGGACGTGGACACGCTGAAACTGGGAGGGAGGAAATTCTAGGGAGTGGAGGAGACTGAAGCAAAGCCCTGGGGTGGGAAATGGTGACTCCTTTTGGGAGATGGCAGAGAATCCAGTTTGGGTAACACATGGGACCTAAGGGAAGGATCAATAGAAGCTGAGGAGGGAGAGGGGAGCAGTTACCATGAAGAGACCTTGGTGGTCTTCCTGAAGGAAGCAGGAGTCTGAGCTGAGCTGCAGGCAGTCACAGGCCGTAGGGAGGAGGAAAGGGTGGGAGAAGGGACCCGAGGCAGGGAGACTTGGGACCTCTTGTCATCACAGGACAAGGGCCTGGGCAAGGCAGGTAAGAACGGGATGACAACATAAGATGCCAGTATTGGGGGCCGCCCCGGTGGCGCAGCAGTTAAGTGTGTGCACTCCGCTGCAGCGGCCCAGGGTTCGCAGGTTCGGATCCCGGGTGCACACCGACGCACTACTTGTCAAGCCATGCTGTGGCGGCGTCCCATATAAAGTAGAGAAAGATGGGCATGGATGTTAGCCCAGGGCCAATCTTCCTCAAGAAAAAAAAAGGGGAGGATTGGCATCAGATGTTAGCTCAGGGCTAGTCCTCCTCACAAAAAAAAAAAACAAAAAAAAAACCTCCCAGTATTTACTGAACAACTACTATGCACCAGACACAGGACGTATCCAAAATGGTGGAGGTAGCAGTTTACCTCAAGGAGTCCCCCAAGAAGTCCCCCTGCTCCCTACCACCCACCCACAGCGCTACCCTCCACATGTCAGTGGTTCAGGAAACAGTCTCTGCTTTGATATCCTTTATACTACAAGTGAAAATGATGGGGCTCCCTTTTGAACATGTGAAGTTCAAGGCACATCCAGCAATAGCAACAATGACCAGGCCCTTACACCTCATTCCCACCCTATGAGGTAGGTACTCTCAGTATCCTCCTTTTACAGACGAAGAAACTGAGGCACAAAGAAGCAAACAAGCAGATCACGCTTGTCCCTGTGAGAGAACCAAGATTTGATGTCAAAGTCTGGCGACAGGGTCCACAATGTCATCACTTTTCTCCAGGTGGCTTCCAAAAAGGGGAATGGATGTGAGAGACTGAGGGAGGTAACACTGAGATGAAGCGAATGTAGAGGGTGACCGGGCTGAGCGGGTCCTTTCGGCAACAGGAAGGCTAAGGGAACTCACTTGTATTAAATGTCTACCAGGTGCACTTTGCATCCACCATCTCACTTTAATCTTCACGCTGGGCCCTGAGGAAAGGTACCTTCATTTTGCAAACGGGTCAAAAGACCTCAAGAGAGAGCAAGTCATTTGCTCAGTCACTTGGGTTGAGTAAGGGGCAGAGCTCCCGGCTAACCATCAGATAAGGCACGATGAGTGGTGGAAATGCCAGGGCACGTTGTTATGAAAGGGTGGCACTCTGTTATGAAAGAGGTGGCGGAGGGTGAGCAGTATCCACAAGTAGGCGGCTGGAAGTGGATCAGGAAAGGTCACTGAAGGTTGCTGGGCCTAGATGCTTGTCAGGACAGGGCTGCAGTAGAGCTCTGCAGGGGGCCATTCTATGGGGTAAGGGCCAGAGGGCAAAATGGAAGACTACTCCAGCTCTTCTGAGGGTTCCTGCCTTGCAGTTTTGGGGACACTTGCAATCACATTCTCACTGGGTCTATGAAGGAATCCCTGAGGTCAATTTTGCAGATGTTGCAGCTGAATGGGTGGCGGAGCTTCAAGAGGAGCTAATGGGGCTCTTGGAATTCACAACTCCAGCAAGTAAGATGCCGTCCTTTGAGGCTGACGCCTACAGCACCCATACCTGTTAAACTACAGAAAACCACATACCGTAGAAGAAAAGGTATATATCAGGAGAGACAGAGAGGAGGAAGAAATTGGGGATAGCTAGGAAAAACTTCAGAGAAGTAGCATTTAAAATCTTTTCACATAGTTAGGATTATTTCAGTTAGTTGAGGTGGTGTTAACAAATTGGGGTAGGAAAAACAGGTGGGAAGAAGCCTTCCTGGCTGATACAACCAGTATGAATAGAGTCGCGGAGGAGAGCTTACAGTTGATACGCTGGGGTCTGCCAAGGGTGGGCTGCGGAAGGCAAAGCCGAGCTGCTGGAATGTTAATTTGACAACAAGGCATCAGATATAGTTCTCAGGTTGGGAAAACAATTCACTGGCCTCTCGTTAAGATGTGCAGGGCTATCCCTGCAACTGCAGCAGACACTGTGACATAACTTCTTTCCTAGCCTTCTCCGCAGCTAAGGACGGCTAGGTGACTTGATCTGAGAAGGAGATGCCAGCTGAGGTCTGCTGGGGATTTCCGGGAAAGCTTTGTTCCTGAGAGTCTCCTATCAAGATCGACTGCCTCTGCCCTCTTCTTCTTGCCTTCAGTGCAGATGTAACACTGGAATATCCTGTGACCATGGGCACAAAAGCCCAATGCTAAGGACAGTGGTGTGGAAAAATAGAGCCGAGTCCCTGGAGGCATCAGTGAGCACTAGAACCAAGGCCGGCAGCTGCCTATGTACCTCTTTCTCAAGTGAGGGAAAAACAATCTCCGTTTAAATCACGGAACCGTTTTTTGCTACCTGCAGCCGAATGCACTCGTATTTAACACAGCAACATGGGGCCTAACCCGCCTCATAGCTAGTCCTGCTTCCCCATAAACCAACTAGCAAGCAGGGAAAGTTCTAATTTCCTGAGATTCCTCCAAAGATGTATTGTCCTTGAGTAAAATTACAGGCCTTCTCCCACTTCACGCTACCAAGACCCTGTGGGGTTCTAGCAATTTATGAGATCTGTGGACTCACTCTCCAGAAAATGCCCAGGCGAAGCAACTCTGCCGCCACCCTGCAGCATACAAGTGGTCCCACAGTGCTGCTGCCTATCTAAGGCTAGGGAAAGCAGAGGCTGCAGACTTGAACCAACACCAGTGCAGCTTTAGGGTCCTCCCCTCATCTCAGAGAGGCCCAAGGAAAGAAGCTAGGCCACCTCTGTTTTCTGTATCCCCCTGGAAAGAATCTACTCTGGCTATAAAACAACTGCAATGTGACAAAAGGGCAATAGAGCCCTTGTGCACATCCATCCTATCTTTAAGTGGAGGAAGAAATCCCCCCTTCTCTGAGTTATTTATGGGCAATGTCTAGTTACATCACAAATACTTAGTTCTGGTATATATCCCTATCTAAACTCTGAATTCAGCAACTGAATAATTCAGGTAAAGTTTCGGATAAATCACGTGCTTATCCAAACACTCCCCTTTCTAGTTGTGAAACTCAGGCACCAAAGATTCAGCTAGTGTGTTACAAATTCTCCAAATCAGGGAAGTGAAGCAATGTACACAGCAAGGGATACTCCTAAACAGCAAGCTTTGATGAATCTACCAAACAAGACCATAACTAGGAGGTCACCCAGTTTTTCTGAAGCAAGTCTGTATTGTGTTGGTGTTTTATCTAGAGTTAACATATTGACCGTATCGACAAATTCTGGCCATGTCAATCCTGTAACACATACCTCTCTCTTGGAAAGAAGCTTTTAAATTTTTGTTTGCATTTGCAAAGGGGTCAGCGATGAACCTTGAACTCCCTGCTAACAGACTCCAGAACCAGTGCTTCTGCCTGAGGGTGTAGGAGGGTGAACAAGACCAGCCCTGAACCCTGTTTGTCTTCATTTGTAATTTTTAAGCAAAGGACTCCTATCAGATCAGTCATCTCTTCTTAACCCAATTTTACTAGCCCTGTGGGTTTTATTACGCATTTTCTGGTCCTTTTAGTCATAACTAGGCATAAAACACATCAACTTCTCCTCCCCTCTGCCCCTGGGTCAGCTCCTGGACTGACTACTCATCTACTGCTGATGTTGCTCTCTCAATTTTTAAAACTTTAACACTAAACCTCAGATGCCAAAATACTCTAACAGTTGCAAGAAAGACAAAGTGTATTATACAAGACTGTTCTGATAAGACCATGTTTTAATTGTCTGTGACACAGATATATCACAAAATTAATAGTCTAGCAAAGATTAAAGAAAAACAGATGAAAATGAGTTTGTGATTCCTTAATTTTAATTAAGCTTTTGGCAAAAAAAATCAGGGGTTAGAATCATTTCAAAATTGTGTCTTCAAAACTAGCACCCTTTACCATCTGTCTTTTATTCATTTTGCTGTGATACAACTAAAAAGGCCCGTAAATACTCCCCTGGGTCTCAGGTAACAGTTTTCCAAGAGCAAAATATCATTTTCTCTGTACAGTGAAAGCTGGCATTTGGATGGGCTGGATCGGGTGGACAGGCTGAAACACTGGCTTCTTTCTCATTTCAGAGAGTGTTTTCACTGCAGGGAGCAGCTGATTCCTTTTGATGATCTGTAAGGCCAGCTGGGTATTACCTATAAAAACACTTTCCATTAAAAACAAAAAGCACATAACAACACCACCATATACAAGGCAAGCCATCAGAACTCTGCAAGGGAGGTAAAAGAGGGTCTGGAAGAGCAGTGGTCTGCAACCTTTGCTATACACTGGAATCATACAATGCTTCCATCCCATCCCCAGAAATTCTGATTTAAGAGATCTAGGGTGTGACCTGGAATGGGATTTTTAAAAGCTCCCCAGTGATTCTAAGGTATAGACCAGGTTGAGAACTTGCCTACAGGTAGACTGCACAGGATAAGGGATCTGGGACCATGCATTGACCCTAATCACACTCTTCAGGAGGCGAAGGCCTGCTGGGTGCCAGGCCCTTCTTCAGCTATAAGAAGAGGAGAGCCTTGTAAGGATTCCCATGATCAACAAGGAGGTATGACTTAGAACTCTTAATGTTTCTGTCTCTTCGAATTTCGCCCATTCACATCTCTTTTCTACTCCGTGCTCTCTCTCAGGTAGCGTCCATAGCCTTTCTTCTAGTAAGCCACATCCTGGAGGCTGTATACACCCCAGAGGTAGGACCTGGATTTAGGTTTGGATAAATAATTCTTAGCAAGAACTGGCTTACTGTAACACTCATTAATGACATGTGTTAAAAATACTACAGTGTACAACTCAGAGCATCTGGCATTCTGACTCATGTTCTCAATTAGAGTCACTTGGCTGCCTAAGTGTAAGGTTAATTAGTAGAGATTAATTATAATTAAGTGTCAGAAGTTATGCTATTCTGAATTTTCACAGATAAAAGGATATATGCTTAACTCGCAAGAAGCAGGAATTTGTAAGATACCAAAAACTACCTGGTTACATTTTTGTTTAGAAGAACTTGACAGGTAGTATCTTCAAGGAAGGCAAAGTTTCAATTTCGAAGAGAAAAAGCAGACACCAAGAATCTTGGGCTCTTTGAAGGGATACAGTCCTAACTAGAGAGAAGAATTACTTACCATTCTGCAGTTCAAGGTAGACTGCCAGTAAGATGGCTTCAGGGGGCACTTCTTTAGGATGGATCATTGAAGCCGCCTTTGCTCAAAACAAAAAAGACACCCATGAAAAACCAACAGCTTGAGATACAAACTCCAAGTAATTCCAAAAAAAAAAAGAAAGTCAGCCTACCAAGGCTAAGTTAGCAAACTTATTCAAGCTCATTCCCACATGACCGCCTAGGAACTACTATAGTTTTGCTCTGACGGCCTCAGCTGCCTTTGTCTTGATCCCTTTCAATTAAACTAGACATGTAATTTTTAGTTCAATATTTATTTTCCCTTGCCTGATCCATAATGAGTTCTTAATAGGGGAAAACCTTTCTTGCCTTTTGGTTTTCAGCTGCTTGGGGTTCTTCATCTACCTCCTGGCTATATTTGGTTTTGAGATGGGTGATCAGATGATTCTAGACTCCAGTCATCTGTCCATGTCTGCTGGTGGATCTTCACCATAGACACAGTTGCACTTATATTAAAATCTGCATGCCCATTTGTTTTCCTAAGTAACAACTCAGTATTTTAAGCTGCAAGTGCCCAATGTTAGCAATACGAATTCAAACTTAAAAGGTTGGTAATACAGAAAAAAATGTACCACTAAGCATGTCCGACGTCCCCATTCTTAAGGACTGAAACAGTTCAATTTAGTCAAATAAAATAATTTATTTGTTTAGGCAACATGCTGTCCTTTCCTAGATGTGAGAGCCACATCACCAGCCAGCAGTTTCTCTCTGATCTCGTCCTGAGAAGAGGAAGCCTGGACTGCTCTGGTCGAGGGTGTGAGATTACAGTTTATTTCCTCAGTCCGGGCCTCTTTGGGCTGCAGCCTCTCCCTCACCCTACTATCAACTTGTAGTTTCCCATCCAGTTTCAGGTGCTCATGCTTCCAGCCTGCTTTGCTTCTTCCCTTAATCTAATCAGAAAGTGCACTTCTACAAATATTTATTGACCAGAGGTGGGTGTGAGGGTAAGACAGGGACTTACTCCTGATAATAAACAAGCATATGCAAACAACTGACAACAATCCAAACAAATTTACCTAAATGCTTGGGAGAGAGGAAAGTGAATGTAGGTGAATATGAAGAGAGAAAGAAGAGTTTCTTTCAAATGGAGAGCTTTGGGGCAAGGGAAGCCCACCTTAGTCCCTGCAGGGCAGATACCTGATAGGCAGAAAAGGGGGAGAAATGGCATTCCAGGCTGAGGGGTGAATGTGGAAACATCTGGGGGACCAGACACTTGCACACGGTCAGTTCCCGGCAGCACTGGAAGAAATCTCAGACTGGGGGGATTCTCATCCAGAGCACATGCTCCTAAGTTCCTCACAAATGAAGCAGGGAGGTTTTTACTCCTGTTAGCACATCACTGAGGTATAACAACTCAGTTCAGAAAATGAGAATCTGTACTTCTAGGCCTAGCTTTATACACACAAAATCATCTTTACAGCATTTTGTGGATATTAAAATCTCCATTTTCCCTCCAGGTGATTAGTTAACACAGGTCATTTATTGTTCTTTGCATTGACCACAGTCTGCAGCTTTTTCTAAAATACAAGAATTCACGGCAACAACTTTATGAGACTTAATGGTATTTTGCTTACTGGCTGTTCAGAATGGTTAGTGGTGGGCAGGCAACCTCGGAAACATCTACTCGGAGCCCTTTCCAACTCTTCACATCATTGTTCTGCCCTCCCAGGCAGGGTGGGCCTCCCAATTAACAAAGGTCCAGGCATTGGATTAACCTAAAAACCAAGGGACCAAAACAAAACCCCCTTCAGACCCCGAACCAGGCCTGACCCCATCTGCTCTCCCACTGTGGCAGCCGCCATGGCCACCTGCGGTACGAGAACCTGAGCTAGACCGCACACACTGTAACTTTAGATCCAGAGCCCCGTTTGCTGCAGTCATTGGGGTTCACTGGCACTTTCAAAAGGGCTGTGAAGCACCCCAGCCTTGCCAATGAGAACAGTGAAATGTTTTAACTCTTAGCCTGTACTCAACTCCTAGATGATGTCAAACATGTTTCCCTGGATAGTCTAACACTTAACTTTTCTGATTTTGGATCAGGACTGCTGATGAAATGCCACTAAGTTGACTAAATATCACTCATGGCTATTTTTGACATGGGAAGTTTCATCACTGCTAGACACAACATGGTGGCCTTCATAGGAAGGAAATTTCTGGAAGTCACCATTATCTCCTGAGAATAGGTTTAATTTCAATTTCAGTTACTCTGACAAGCATATGGGGATGTGGGCTCTCTCATGTGCTGCTGATGAATACACCATTTGGCACAAACTTTCCATATTAGAAGTCTTAAAATTCTGCATACCTTCTGACCTTGCAAGTCCCTTTTAAGGAAGGCATCTCCTAAAGGTAAGGTCCATGGGTTAGGGTTGTATCACACCCACTTATTTACTGTCTTATTCGCACAGCTTAGCACAGAAGTAAGTGCTGAGATACCTACTGAATTTATATCCTTCTGAGGAATTTCCTCTTTCTGATTCTGTGAAACCCCTCTGGGGCTGCCCATGGTGGTACCTGTTCCCTTACTCCAGGTAAGGATCCATGCCCATGACTGGTCTAGGGATGGGTGGGTGACCTAGAGGCCCAATCAGAATCTTCCTTGAGACCTGCTGATGGTGCACCATTTCAGTGGTAGAATTCAGAGGTCTATTTTAGTTATACATTGCCAGTAGCTTTCTTTAGTGTATGTGGAGTTTCTTTGGTACCAGTTTTCTGAACCCTGTGTCTCTGAAAGGTATATCTGTAATTTAACTTTTTTAATAGACACAGATTCACATAATTCAAAATCAAAAAGTATACAAGTATCCTGTGAAAAGTCTCCCATTTTAGTGCTCCAGCCACACAGCACTAATCCTGGCACTCCTGCAACCAATGTTAGCAGTTTCTGGTACATCCTTTCAGAGATCTTTTATGTATATACAGGACTATATAGAAATTGCTTTACATCTTGCTTTTTTCACTTAATATGTCTTGGATATTATTTTATAATTTTATTTATTTATTTATTTTCCTCCAAAGCCCCAGTAGATAGTTGTATGTCATAGCTGCACATCCTTCTAGTTGCTGTATGTGGGACGCGGCCTCAGCATGGCCGGAGAAGCAGCGCGTCAGTGCGCGCCCGGGATCCGAACCTGGGCTGCCAGCAGCGGAGTGCGCACACTTAACCGCTAAGCCATGGGGCCGGCTCATTGGATATCTTATTTCAGTATACAGAGTTTGCAGCAGCATTGTATTCAACTATATGGAGGTACCATTATTTATTTAAGTGATCCCTTATTTAGACAGTTTTGAATCTTTTGAAATTCTAAAATCACCAAGAAAAACTCTATTTAAAGTCCCTAGGTTCACTTTGCAATTCTGACCAGTTGTTTACCTTACAAGAATATTTTTAAGCTTGGAAGAGTAATATTCCAATTTTTAATAAATTGACCAGAAGCCTCAAACAAAATTACAAAAGCCATAAACTCCACACCCTTTGCTGGCTGCTTTACAAGAGGGTTTGGCACCGCTCTCTCCAGTCTCACCTGGTGGAGACACTTTCGGGCTTTGTCATATTCACTCCTCAGGCAGTAGGCGCTGCCAAGGTTGAACAGCATCACGGTCCTGGCAGAGTTGACGGAACTGGGGTAGCACTGAGGGGCTCGCTTCCCAGCTGGGGGAAAAAGAGCACAGACACTGGTGAAGAGGCTAGGCCAAGGGCAGGGAGCAACTGACTCCACCATCCCTGAGGAGCTGCTTAGAATAAAGCACAGCACTACTCCTCAGGCTGACAAATGAAGGACACAGAAGGCTCGAGTGTAAATCTTTGGGATGCGGGCCAGGCTACTTAAGTATTGACAAAACTTCTTACTTACAGGATTCCATTGCTTCATTTTCTCCTTTGTCTGATCCTACAAAGACATGAAAATAAATCTGAGGGGGCAGGATAACAGAGTATATTTTCTAAAAACCTAATTTTCATTATGAAACGGAAATCTAATATCAAAGCAACTGTCACAGTATTTACTTTTCACATAGTGGAGGTTCTATTAAATGACACCAAAATGCTACCAGCCACCACCATCCCACGCCTGAGAAATAACCTTGAATACAGTGATTGCCAGTCTCACTCCTTCAAAAACTTAGCCATGACTTAAAACTGAATTTCGAACGCAATACTTTTACTCTCCCCTGGATTATGGAATCCCTCCAAAGGAAAAACACAGTATGAGAACCAAAACAAATTGTTCTAACACTATCAGCCTTTCAAAAGTGGGAATTCAGATCATGTGATTGATAATCAACTCCTAGGTCTACTTAGCAAACAATTACTACAAAATCAGTACAACCAAAACTGTAGAGAGACAATATCAAACTTCTTTCCCTTCACAAGTGTGCCCTTAAATTTCCACACATCCCGAGTTACAACAGGAAGGCAGTGGAAATGGTGACAAGTTCTGATCAAATGTGTCCTTATTAACCTTGGTCCTGCTCATTTGAAGAGATCCCTAAGGAAACATCAGTGACATTCTCTGGGTTCAAGTGAGTAATGGCATCAGATATTCTGTCCAGAGAGATGAGAGCTTCTGCAGCATATAAATGGCCCAAAAATCTAAAATGAAAAAAACAGATTCCAAAATGAAAAGCAGGCAATCATAAAAATATCCAATGTATAATAAGATTTGGTATATGTATGTTTCACATATTTCAAGTGCTTGAATTGAAATCTAAGTCTATAACTGGCTCAATTAAGGGTCATTTGAATTTTATCTCTTTAAAAATATCTTAAAATATATAATAATTTTTATATTAGCTAAGTAGGAACAAATTACACATATCAATTGAGAAAGTAGTTCAAAATTGGCAAATTTAGGCTATTCTATTTATACAGAAAAATACCATTAGCATAGGAAGGTAATGAAGTTCTAAAATAAGAGGAGGTCCACAGATGGATGCTCGCTGAGTAGAGCATCAGAACCAGAGTCTCTGGTCTCTGCTGCTGGAAGAGTCAAAAGGCACCTGACCACCAGACCAGAGAGAGACCAGATTTGGGTTGGATCAACTTTACTTCTATTCTAGAAGTTTCCTGCTTTTCACATTATCTATTTCATGCCCACTGACGCTAGGTCAGATGCACATCCTCCCGGCCTGCAAGAGCCTGCTTCTTCCAATCTCTGTTAGCCATTTTCCCCTATGATTGCCTGGTTGATTTTTCAAAATTAAAACAGGCTTAGATGTATTACACCCTTGCTCAAAATCTTAATGACTTTTTCTACATGAGAACAAAACAAAACAAACAAAACTAAACTTTTATAGATTTAAAGCTCCCCACAATTGAGTCCCACTTTCCTATATCCAGTCAATATTCTCACTCCCCCAAAGACTCCTCTGTTCCCACCTGGGCAGTGTCCTGGGCAGGGCACACTCACTACTCCCCTGTGGCCTTGCCTTCTTGGGCTCAAAGCTCAGCCTCATCTTCACAAGCCACTATGTAACTACTCCTTTTAAAGGGCCAGCTCAGGTCTCACCTCTTCTAGCTAGCCTGCCCCAACTCAGTCTGTCCACATGGATCTTCAGTCCTCAAATCTTAGGCTCTTTCCAATTTGACCATTTTCTGGGATTTATGTACATTAATCACTCAAGAGCTCTTTACTTTTTTATTAAACAATTTCTTTCTTCTAACTAGCAAGGGCTGCAATGACCTTTTATTTTGCTTCCCCACCAAATACCCTAACAGAAATGAGAAAAAAAAAAAAAAAAATCAGTAACCTCAAGTATATTTTGAAATAAGATATTTAAAAAATTTCATTAAAGCAGTATCAACAAGTCAATAATCATCACAAAACACAAACACACAAATTCAAAGAACTACTTCAAATTGTTTCTCTGTGAATTTACTTAAAAAAAAAATTTTTTTTTTAACCAAATGAAATGCCTTCATGACCCACAAAACACAGAAATCCTTGACTAGGGGTATAGAAAGCAACCAGCAGTGGGGTAAAGATGCTGTGGTATTTGGGCTGCCAAACACAGAAAGACCTGCTTATCCTCACTGGGAAGACAGACAGTGGCCTTGTTATTAATTAATAAACCAATGCTTAGGATAGAATAGTTAAAAGAATTAAAAAAGAAATTACCAGACATGGCTTGGCCAATCCCTCAGAAATTAGCTAAGAAATCATATGACCTAGGAATTTTGTTCCTTTGATGTTCAAAAGGAAGAAACTGATAAATGTGTTTAAACACTCTCCAACAAATGCTAAGTAAAAAATCTTCTTGGGATTATTTGAGAATAGTGATCATAATGTCAACCAAAGGATTAAAAAAAACAGCAAGGATTTATGTTTCATTTTTGGTAAAAAGAAAAACAAACAAAACACTGCTCTAAGAATGGGCACGCACACCACGGTCGGAACACTGCAGTTCCAGCCATGGCAGGAGCTGCCGTTCCTGACTGGTATTTCATGGAGCTGGGCAATGGTCAGGATGGAAGGCACCTTACAGGCAACCCAAGTGCCTTGAACTGGAACTCAGGATCCTTGAGATGCAAAAAAAATTCACTACCAAACATGAAATTACCAAATTAAGAAATTTTTTAATCAGTTGCTTTCCCTAGATGATAATACATATATTCCACTGAGGAAGTAAAAAGAAGTAACATGTACCACAAACTAACTGAAAACCTCCAAACAAAACAAGCCAGGGACACACAGGGCAAGTCACACTTACTTAAGAGATCCTGACAGCTTGGGCTGCTGAAGAAGTTTATCTGCATGATTCAAAGCCATAAGGTTATCACCCAAAGCCAGAGCCACGTAAGCACTACAGGCAAGTATGGAGCATCTGGAACACAAAAGGGAAGGGCTGAAATCCTGAGCTACAAAATCGACAATCATTATATTTGTTAAATAGGAAAGAACGTCCTAATTATAACTGTGACAATCTGGACACCAGGAAAGAAGAGAGGAAGCCACAATACTAATGGTAAGAATTAGAATGATGTATAAAACTCCCATCTGAAGCAGTTTAGCTATTTACCTAAATCATCTTTAGCTTCCATCCAATTGACCCCCATCTCCAACAAAATAACCAAATGGAGTTATAATATATATTTAGCCTGTAAAAAAATAATGTCATTAACGGCCTAGTGAGAACTTACTTCCATAGAATATTTAACATCCTAGAAATAAAGCCATAGAAGTAGATCTTATTCGTTCTACGCACATTGCGATTTTGCTACAAAACAGTTAACTTACAAAAAAAGTCCATTTAGCTTATTAGCTTACTGTAAAGTCTTCTTCTCTGAACCTGTTAAGAAGTCTATATAGTTCTCACTAAGCATCAGTATCAAGAGTAACTAAAAGAATTTCATTCACATAGGTACTATTATCCTAAATGAATATTCAAGAAAAAAAACAGGCTGAATAAATACATGTGAAGATAAAAAATTTAAGTTACACTGATTTTGCTAAAGTTGGGTTGGTTTAGTTTTCTACTTAACAGGCAGCTCATTTAAAACAGGTCTAGCTAAAGACTTGACACTAATAGATCACTTGAATGTTAAACAAGCGCTCCACAAAGCAATCTTAAAATAAACCCTTGTCAAATAGAAATGAGGTCTGAATGGCCAACCAGAAATGACCCGACTTAGATACAAGGTTTTAAGTTATGTTTACAAATTACAATACATATGTATATCATTAAGTGCATTCGGGTTGTAATTTCAGTCTAAGGAAAAATGTAACCATCATATCACCAGAGTTTTCTAACACTCTGAAATCCTCTGACTAGAAATGGCCCTTCTAGTAAAAGCACAGCTGGGTAAATTCAGAAGTAGTCTGCTGTTTTTCTTCACTGGCTCACTCCTGGTTGCTGGAACCTTAGGAAATTATCCACTAAAGGAAAAGTAGCCCCTCAACTCCTAACAACACAGAAAAATAGACTGGTCCCAAAGAAGGCACAAGGAAATTGAGACTTATGGCCGTAGGGTACAGCGGTAGGGCTGAAGGATTACTTAATGAGGTTCCTTGTTTTATCAATGCAGAAACTGAGATTCAAAGTGATCAAATATATTCTCTAGCTTAGAGTGTGTGATTAGAGTCAGGACTAACATTCAACACTGTGGACTCCCAATTCACTGCTCTTCCCATCCTATCACATTGCTTCTCTATCAACTCACAAGATCACCCTAAAAATAAGGTAGAAAGAAAAGATTACATTATGATTTTTCTAATGCATACATAACTATGCATACATACGTACTCTAACCTCTCTTTTTAAAAAGGAGGAAAACAGAATCTAATCCAAACATTACAAGTTTAAATTTTGTTACTGAGCACATAACTTAAAATCTGAACCCTGTTCACAGAAGAGAGTACTTTACGAGCAGGCCAGTAGTGTCATTTCTAAAGGGATTTTCCTGGCAAGCCTAATGCCAATATCCCTGTGTCTCCAAGAGCTGTCTTCACAGCAAGGCCACAACCCCTGTGGGGAGTCCTCTCCCTGATGGAAGACTCAAGGGCCCAAAGGAGGGAGCCACTCGCTAGTCATCTCGCATTTTCATAAGCACTGCAGTGGTTAGCTCTGTGTGGCGAGATTAGGCTGATTTATTTTCCTCTTTTGGCTTATTTGTAGTTTTTATTTTAAGATGGGAATGAACATTCATTCATCAGCCAGGTAAGTATTGCTTATGAAGAAAAATAAAGACTTTTAAAGGTCTGGGTTAGGTTTCCAGATGCCCAAGAAGACCACCAGCTCAGGGCCTATATGAATGACAGTCACAAAGTTTAATATCCATTTTCATCTATGACTTTGCCCAAGGTCAGGGCAAAACATAAGCTCCTTAAAAGCAGAAGCCCTCATCTGCTCTTTCCTAGACAAAGACTAGAGCAATTTCTCACCACTTGTAGTAAATGTTTAATAGGTATTCGCTGAAGACCACAGCTTTCAATGTTTTAAATTTACTTGTCTAGGCACCCAGACCGCCATCTGTTGGTAGGCCACCTTGCTGATGAGCCACCTCCTTCCTGGCTCCCACAGCCGGGGGAGCCATCCAGCATGCTCTAGGTCCTGGAGTCTAGGACAAGCCTCACCTCAGACAGGCTTGCTGGGAAAAGCCTGCCCTGGCCTCTCCCGACAGTAGGGGGGCTATTACTGCTCCAGCCCACTGTCAAGCCCACTTTGAGTCCAGAAATCAGTCATGTAAGATTTGCAGCAGGATTCTGTTTCCCAGGAAGTCCAAATTATAATTATGTACAAGGGAAAAATCTGTTTTCCTCAACTTTTACCTCTTTTCTCTTAAGATACCATATCAAATCACAGGGTAAAAGATTCTAATAATAAAATAATCTCTCTCTAAAAAATACTCAAATATGTGAATGCAAAACTTTGGGGCTGACATTCTGATCAAGAGCCATTGGGATTTAGGCAAGTTTCACTGCATCCAACTCAAACTAACATTTATGCTCCTCTTCTCTTCGTGCCTTATAATCTACCCTAACTCACCTCTCATCACCCTCTCACTCATCCTCCTTTTCCTCTTAGAAAACATCACTCCACTCCGCATAATTCCCACAAACTGGTAACACTAGAAACACACATGACTCTATCTACTAAGCCCCTGGAGAAATCACTTTACTTTTGATAGTTGCTACTTAAAATATTGACACCCCCCTGCACCACCACTTCCTTGACTCATTGTCCAATCTGCTTTACCAACCACTCAGTGGATCTGACAGTTCATCAGACTGGAAGAACTATACCTCAGGGGGAGACACACTAGCTTCTCCCCCCCTGCAGAGGATTTGACACAACCCCACACTCTCTCCTCCACATACTGGAAGAGCTGCCTCTAGGTCCACAGAACGCCAACCCTTGGAAAAGAAAAGAACAAAAAGATGAAGAAGAAGAAAGAAAGGAAAGAAAAGGGAAAAAAACAAAACAAAACTTTCCCTAAAGCACCAAATTACAGCAACAAGCTATACAAGACTGGGCATTAAAATTTGTCAAGTCATATATTCTGTGAGTTAAATGAATCTAAATGAATAACAGTGTAACCCTTATTCAAAGAAGCTAAAATAATTTACTGGGGGTAAATCCAGTCAGTCACCATTTGTCAGAGGAAAATAAATTTACAAAGCAATCTCACAGCAAACGTTTTTTGAAAAATTGGCTCCAAAATCCAATAAGGAATTTCTTCCAACAAACGGAATATGGTACTGGATTTTTAAATTAAGGAAAAAAAAATTTTCAAGCTGTTTCCATTTATCTACAACAATCTAGAACATGTTCAGTTTAACTTTCAACTTTTAAGAAAATTTAAAAGTTCAATTAGGAAGTATTTCACTTCATGTCCTCTGTAAACATTTTATTTTCCTTTTTTTTTTTTTTCCTAAGTATGTATTCTTTTTTTCTTTTATTTATTTACTTATTTTCCCCCAAAGCCCCAGTAGATAGTTGTATGTCATAGCTGCACATTTTCCTAGTTGCTGTATGTGGGACTCGGCCTCAGCGTGGCCGGAGAAGCGGTGCGTCGGTGCGCGCCTGGGATCCGAACCCGGGCCGCCAGCAGCAGAGCGCCACGCACACTTAACCGCTAAGCCACAGGGCCGGCCCAACATTTTATTTTCTAATAACAGTTCTGTGCAAAAAGAATCTTATTGACACACACACCCCAAATCCAACACAAATAGAAGCCCAACACAAAGGCTGAAAAAGTTTTCCCCTTAATCAAATCTAGCATCTGGAAGAACCCAGTCCTACCCTAGGCAGTAAATAAAAGGCATAAAGTCACAGACAGCATTTTATACATGGACAGGACCTTAAGATCCCCAATCCAATTCGCTTTTTTGATAGAAGAGAAAACTAAGGGTTAAACGATTTGTCCAATGTTGGCAGCAGTCCATGGGTTTCCACAGAGTGATAGACCACTGAAGAAATATTCTAAACCTAGCTTGTGGATCAATCTGATTGCCAGTTCCTCTAAATGAGATCCCGGGATGTAGATGTGAATCATGCCAATGTGAACACAAACTGCTCAGAACAGTTTCTCCTTCGGTAGAGTAGCAGGTTCCTTCTTTGGTAAAGTTTAGCAGATGGACAAATTTCAGTAGGACCACTCTCAGTTATAAGACTGAAATGGGTCTGGGTCTCTAGCAAGAGCAAAGGATATTCAAAAGATTATTAACCATAATCCTGTTTTAGTATGTCTCATAAGCTACAATAGAATCACTAGACTTAGACCAAAAGAAATATGATTCTTTAAGTACACTAAAACTGTCTATAATATTTATGTTATCAACCATTTGTTTGAGTCATTTTCTTTTATAAACAGTGGGCCAGGGGAGGTCCCTTTTAACTGAATGGGAAATAATTCACTGAGCATCACATCAGACAGTAAATGAACTAATTAAGGTTCCATAATTTATACCTGCGGAATAACTTAACTAGGGTTAATTAAATTTGGTGTGAACATTTCCTTTTATCCATTGAGCCTCTTGTTAAAAGAAAAAGAGAAGTTGAAATTTCCTTTTTTATTTTGTATACTTTGATTTTAATTTCTCATATAGTCATTTCCCATGTTGGCCCCAACATTATTTCCTACCCTCTTCCAGTTCTGTTATACTCTTTTCAGGTTCTAGAGCAGCCTCCATTTTAGTTTTAGAAATTAAATTTCAGGGGCCAGCCCGGTGGTGCAAGTGGTTAAGTGTGTGCACTCCGCTGTGGCGGCCCGGGATTTGTCGGTTCGGATCCTGGGCGCACACCCACACATCGCTTGTCAAGCCATGCTGTGGTGGCGTCCCATATAAAGTAGAGGAAGAAGCGCATGGATGTTAGCCCAGGGC